TTTTGTAAAAATGGGGGTTTGCCACATTGCCCAGGCTGGTCTCGAACTCCTGGGCTTAAACATTCCTTCTGCCTTGGCCTCCCAAAGTGCTGAGATTACAGGCTTGAGCCACCACACCCAGCCCAAGTTTTAGGGATTTGGTGTGAAACCATTTAATTGGAAGTTGGGTGCAGACGATGGTAGTGAGGATAGCAATTTAGGTTGACGTTTATGTTGCCTACTTGGGAAGATGGATGGCACTCATTGAGAAAAGGAATATAGGAGGAGCAGGCTTGGAAGGAAAGATGTTTCAAAACTTAAGAGATGCCTATGGGACATCAAAGCGGTTATATCTAGTATGCAGTAAAATAAGGAGTCTAGAGCTCAGGAATGAGATTTGGGCTAGAGATACAGATTTAGGACCCCTCATGTTAAAAGTGGTGGTTTTAGCTGTTATATGGATGAGATTGTCCAGATAATTCATGTCATGAAATGAAGGTCTTAGGATAGAGTCCTGGTGCATGTTACTATGTAAGGCTTAGGTGACAAAGGAGAAAAGGGAATTCCCAGATCCTCACTCTGGTGGAAATATAAGCAACCTAGACATTAAGCCTCTAAGGATGGAGGTGCTCAGAGTAGGGATTTGGTCTATGACCTCCAATAAACTTCTGGCCCTGTTACATAATAACTTTGTATACATTTTATTGACTGTTCAAATTACTGCATGTACCCCAAGATAATAAATTTTATTTAAAAAAAATTCTATAACTCTTAACCTTCTTTCCAATTGATGAAGTTTTATAGGATTTGAGAAGCATTTGATAAAGATGGTAATGTATGCAAATACTGATCTTCTCATCCTTTTTCTGAGGAAGTCTGTCACCTAACCTAAGGCTTTTAATATATTGGTGACAAAAAATTAGTCTAAGAGTGAAGCAACTATAGCATAAAATAAACTGGTTGTTTAGAGCGTAATTTTATGACTGAAGAGTTCCATATAGGGATTTACTATTCACTTGTGTTACAGGAGGGGTTTTATTCTTGTGAAGCCTTCCTGTATAAGAGCCTTCCTCTCTGGGATGGCCTCTGTTGTCGGTCACAGTTCCTTCAGCTTGTGAGCTGGATTCCTTTTAGTAGCTTCTCTGGTATGTATCATGAAAATTTGGAGTCATTTAATTCAATGTGCTATGATTGAAAATATTTTGAATAACTTTTTTTTTAATTCCCAGAGGTGAAACCACTTCTTTTTGACCGTCTAGCACAGCTCTTCTTTACATCAACCATTTATTTTAAGGTAACAAAAATTTGCCTTGCTTAGATTCCATAGGATGTATTATTCTATTGCTAGTAGTACACAATTCCAAACTGATATTACGGCAATGGTTTTATAACAGGATTTTCTTGGACCTGGGCGTTGAGGTGCTGCATCACTTAACTCAATGTTAATGCATAGAATGTTCCTTTTTTAAGGCTATATTGCATATAGTTTTCCTGACCTGTTTCCACTTGTAGCAAATGACATAGTAAACAAACAAGTGGCAAATGCATACTAATAAAAACAAGCTGAGAAATAGTTTGATTGTTGTGGTTTATATTTTTGTAGATACATTTATTCATTTTACAAATATTTTTTGAGCACCTACTATATACCATCTTGACACTGGGAATACAGTCGTGATCAAAGCAAACAAAACTCCCCATGACATTAATATTTTATATTTATAATAATAGTTGTTTTCTGCTAATAAAATTGTTCCAATCTTATATATGTTACTATTATGGGGTGGTCTCCAAGAAGACCAATATGGCTTCCAGAAGTTCTACCTGAATGAGTTTGAGAGCCACCTTCTTTTTGTTTTGTTTTGTTTTGTTTTGTTTTGAGACAGAGTCTTGCTCTGTTGCCTGGCTGGAGTGCAGTGGTGCGATCTTGGCTCACTGCAGCCAACCTCCACCTCCCAGGTTCAAGCGATTCTCCTCATCTCAGCCTCCCTAGTAGCTGGGACTACATGCTCACCACCACACCCAGCTGTTTTGTATTTTTTTTCCATCTACCTCAAACTTCAAAGTTTTGCATTTTTAGTAGAGACAAGGTTTCACCATGTTGGCCAGGATGGTCTCAAACTCTTGACTTTGTGATCCTCCTGCCTCAGCCTCCCAAGGTGCTGGAATTATAGGCGTGAGCCACTGTGCCTGGATGAGAACCACTTTCTTATAGAATTCCTATCCTAAAAGAGGGACATTTAAGTAATGTTTCTTTTATAACTTTTTTTTTTTTAACCTTAAATCACTTACTGTTGACCACATTGACAGCAAACATGTTATTCTGGTTAGTGTTTGTCATAATTGAATGGCACTTGATTAATTTCTATCATATTAACTTGGATTTGAGGTCTGTTTATGTTAATTGTAATTTATATATCCTGACCAATATCATCATTCACGTGGCATCTGCACCAGTTCTCCCAGCTAATAAATTTTCA